CACTGCCAGGAGTAATTCCTGAGTGCAGAGCCAGGAGTAACCCCTGTGCGTCACTGGTGTGACCAAACCCCTCCGTACCAAAAAAAAAAAAAAAAAAAAAAACCAAAATTGGGTGAGCCGGCGGGCCTTAGGGGGCATCTCTGCAGATGTCACTCAGTAGCTGAGGGCACTGAGCTTGGAGCGTGTCTGAGACCGCGGCTCTAAGACAGGTGGTCCTCACTCGCCCTCCTCGTCTCTCTGAGCTTCACTGCTGGGCCCTCCAGGTGCCGCCTCTGTCCTGCCTGGGCATGTGTCCTGGGCTCACATGGGGGCAGGAAAGGAGGAGTCACCGCGGGGCTGCTGTGGGCAGAGTGGGGTGCAGGGGAGATCAGGGTTTACTCTGGGCACCAGGAAGGCCGTCGGCGGGTAACTGAGGACAGACACACAGACAAAGGCATCGGCACAGACTCCAAGGAGTTGGCAGGGAGGCAGAGTGGCCTCGGAATGGGGCTGAGGGCAAGGCTGCAAACGGCTGTGACCCCCTGCAGACGGGCAGGAACTTTGGCCTTCAGGGTCACAGGGTGGGGGTGGCCGCCTTCCCGCTGTGCACTCGTGGGACAGCTGATGCAGCCTCTCTATGTCTCATTTTTATTTTTTTCTCTTTTGGTGGAGGGAAGTGTTTGGGCCAAACCAGCACTCTGCAGGGACTGCTCCTGGTTCGGGAGTGACCTCTGACGGTCCTTGAGGGGACCTTGTATGGTATGAGGAACGAAACTGGGGTCGGCTACATGCAAGGCAAAGGTCTCACCCCTGTACTATCTCAGTGGCTCTCACTTTCTTGCCCTTTGGAGAGGAATAACAGCAGGTCACTTCTGGTGTGGGATCGGGACCATGGACACAGGGTCAAGGTTACCCCGTTAGGTGCAGTGCAGCTGTTCAGAGAACTAGGCTCACCTCCGCCTCTGGAGACTCCCAGAAGGAAGATGCAGGACTTGGGTGGGGGGCGACGGGGCATTCTTCTTTTGGGGAGAGATGTATGTAACCTGAACACCTCAGTGAACAGCTAGTTGAGGGCTGGCCCCATGAGTTTAGCTCCTCATTAATTCTTTTTTGTGCAAAAATGAGAATAAGGAAAAGTCCCTTTCATTGTATCTGCAATGCTGGATAAAGCTAGCAAATGACTTTTTTTTTGGGGGGGGGGTCACACCTGGCGATGTACACGGGTTACTCCTGGCTTTGCACTCAGGAATTACTCCTGGCGGTGCTCAGGGGATCATATGGGATGGTGGGAATCGAACCCGCGTCAGCTGTGTGCAAGGCAAAAAACTACCCGCTGTGCTATCTCTCTGGCCCTAGCAAATAACTTTAAGCAAGGAAGCCAGACTCTTAAATATCAAAACCTTTAAAACGTGTCACTCTCAGCCAAGGACGTAAGTTGATTTAGTAAGACTAGCAGGCAATGGTGAGTGTTTTAAAAATATCTTTTCTACGTATTGGTATTATATTCATTTACTTAGAATAACAAAGAAGTATAACATGTTTTAATTACTATTGCTGAAATGATAGTACACAGGTAGGCACTTGCCTTCCACACAGTGGACCCAGTTTGATCCTCGGCATCCCATAGGATCCCTTGGGCCCTAACAGGAGTAACCCCTGGCTTCAGAGCCAGGAGTGAATCCTGACCACCACTGGTTGGGGCCCAAAAGCAAAAAAGAAAAATCACTGTCACTATCATTATCACCCCGTTGTTCATCAATTTACTCGAGCAGGCGCCAGTAACATCTCCATTCATTCCTGCCACGTGCCAGTGTAGCCTGATGGCATGTGGGGGCTCTTTCAGAGTCAGGGGAATGAGAACCATCATTGTTACTGTTTTTGGCATATCAAGTATGCCACAGGTAGCTTGCCAGACTCTGCTGTGCGGGCAGGATACTCTCAGTAGCTTGCCAGGCTCTCCGAGAGGGATGGAGGCTTTTGGGGCAGCCTCTAATCACCTTTACAGGTTCCCAGTCAGGCATATATGGGCAAGATACTCTCAGTAGCCTTCCGGGTTCTTTGAGAACGAGAACTAGAGAATAAGAGGTCTTCCTTATTCTTATAGGAGATTGGTTTTATAGTCTCTGGATCCTGGCCGTTGATGGGGTTACACGGCAGTTGGTGGGTGTAACTGTCTAGCTACTGGAAGGGTGGGGGATCTGGGTGCAGGAGGCTCAGTCCCAAACCGAGCAGGCTTGGAGATCTCAGCCCCGGGTCCCACACACCGGGGTTCCTCTGCAGGTTCCTTCATGTGTGAGGCTCGTCTGAGCATGTGGAGAGTGGTCTCAGCATGGCTGTGGCTGGGTCCCGGAGGTCTTCAGCTGCTGGGGCTCTGCTTCGGGCGGAGAGGGAAACTCAACCCGCTCTCTTCCAAGGGGCCCCGGTTAGGACAGCCAGGCGCGGGGGCAGGAGACTGAAAAAAAAGAAAAAGAAAAAAATCATAAAATGTTATTATTTAGATAACAAGCTTTATCTTATAAAG